GGTCTGTTTTGAAGGCCTGCGGCAGGTGTGTGTACCCGTGTAATGTCTGGGGAGAGATGTAGCCCTCCATTCCTGCTGATTCTGATTGATTGCACTCAGTCTGGCTTTCAATCGACTGTTCCGAGCACAAGCATGGAATCTGCACAATCAATAATAGCATCATACACACAAACCACGGGCTAGATTGGGCCTTTCAGACGCAGGTCCGATGGGCAGCACAGCGCGAGCTGCCTAGCCTTAGGGAGCGCTTCCAGAAGCATTGTGCTCAGGGAGACAGAATCAGTCCAATAGCTCCTGGGTAGCAGAGGGTCTGTGCCATCCCATAGGAGGGTGCAGCATGTTCTCCACTCCGTGGCTGCCCATCTCTGCTGGCTGGTAGAGAGGGGACTGGGTTACACACATACCCCTCCTTGTTCCTTTAGGAGAAGCTGGTGCTGTTGTGGGCTCTCGCTCTGAGCAGTTCTTGCAGTTGTGATTGGCCCCTGCACAGGGGCATGGTAGGAGGGTAAGGGGGCATCTTTTTTCTCTGTGTTTGTACAGCACCTCGCACAGTGGGGGCCTGGCCCATGACTAGGGCTCTTAGGTGCTATGGTCATACAAATAATGCATAATAAGAAAGGCTCTTTGCTCCCCTTGTGGAGCATAATCTCATCCCACTAAATCACGATGGGTCTCTCCTTTCACACGGGGCATGGAAACTGCTGCTAAAAATATGGTGACCAGCATGTACCTTCCCTGTCCCGCTCCTGCGCTGGCCAGGTCTCATCCTTGGGGAGCGGCAACGACCACGTGATGGACGCTGTGTCTCAGTGCGAACAGTACGCCAAAGAGCAGGGAGCCCAGGAGCGCAACGCACCGTGGCGGCTCTTCTTCAGGAAGGAGATCTTCACCCCGTGGCACAATCCGAGCGAAGACAACGTGGCCACAAACCTCATTTACCAGCAGATAGTCCGGGGGGTGAAGTTTGGGGAGTACCGATGTGACAAGGTGAGTCCTCAGCAATGGCAGACCTTGGCCCCCTGGCTTGGGAAATTGGGCACGTGAATATTCTCTTCTCATTTAGGTAGGTGGGATCCAGAATCCTTAAAATGAATGCTGTTCCTGCTGTCTGTCTGTCTGTCTGTCTGTCTACTAATAAGGGACCCAGCACCATGAACTTCATACATTAAGAGCCAAATTTCACCCCTGGAGAAACTCTCCGACAACTCTCATCGAAGTCAAAGGAGCCAACTTACAAACAGAGGAAATCAATGGGAACTGCCCCTGAGTATCTGAAATCAGTGGGAGCAGCACATGAGCATCCCAAGGCAAAGTTTGGCCCCTTGGCTTAAGTGACTAGTGATTCTGACTACCTCCGTGTTTGGGTTCCCAACCTGAGAGACCTTAAAGAGGACTGATTTGCAGAGAACCAGGTGCTTACAGGTGCGCTGCCAGCTTTTCTGCCGCCCTAGGCGGCGGAAGGTCCCGCCCCGAAATGCCGCCCCCTACAGAGGCGGCGGAAGGTCCCGCCGCCAAAATACCACCGCAGTCACCGCCCCCCAAATTGTAGCACCCTAGGCGACCACCTAGGTCGCCTAATGGGTTGCGCCGGCCCTGGGTGCTTAGCACTTCTGAAAATCAAGCCCCTTTGAGGTATATCTAACTAGGTGCCCAAAAATTGTGGAACCCAAAAGTACTTGTTACTTTGAAAATGTAGGCCCTAATCCTCAAACGGAGTTAGGGATCTAAATACCACTGAGAATCTGGGAAGGATCTGGGCCTGGGTATTTTGTCTTCCTTGTTTTTAAAGTATCCATGGACTTCATCCAACATATCTATCTTCTGTTCTGTCTGCTTCTACCCCTTCTTCTCCTGACCTCCACATGAGATGTCTACTGTGTATCTATAAAGTGCCCAATCACCATGGTATCTAGTTTACCTTCTTGTATCTCTGCCTCATTGACTCTCCATCTCAAATCTTATCTGTAGTCCTATCCTTTGCCTATATCTCTTGCTCCCAGTCTCCACTTCTGTAGCTATGTCATGTCTCTGTAAAATACTTTGGGACACAGTTGGTATGAAAGACACAGTACAAAATAAAGGTGTATTGCATTCAGGTATCTGTTCTTCAGCAATTTGCCCGATTTATGAAGAGAGAGGTGGGTTTGCTCCTTAAGTGCAAGAGATGTGCTGAGACACAATTGATTTATACTCACTAAACCTTGTCTACACTAATAGAATTACCCATTGCTGACTACAGGTATCAGAAAAGGGTGCCATTGAACCAGTGCTGAACAGGATTGAACTGCAAGTGTAGACAAGGACAGAGTTGTTCATGGTGCTCAAAAACCTGCTCAAGTTTTTACCATAGTTCCTTCCTGGCACTATGCTGAACACAGTTTGCCCTCAGCTAGACTTGGACCTATACAATGTTCAGTATTGGTTCAGTTGTAAGCCTTGCTGGCAACTGGTGTCAACAGGTCACTTTGCCAGTGTAGACACGGCTCTGGAGCAAACATGGCCATAGCATCCAATGAGATGTTACCTGCATTCAGGTGACTCCTCTGGTAGGAGAGGTAATTTCATGCATCTCAGTGCTCAACAATGGATGCTGAACCTGCTTAATCAAAAAGAGATGATGCCATCAGGTGAACTAAAGTACTAGAGCCTTTGGTAAGCAAAATTCAGAAGGGAATTTTCTCTGCTCTCCCATTATCCATTGATCTGCAATTCATTTAACAGTTGCAGCTATCACTGCTAGGCACATGAGACCCAGTCTTTCTCCCACTTGAATGCAGGTGGGGTCCGTAGAAAGGGGAGGTAGTTAAGGAAGTATTTGTGTGATGTTTTATTCATTTAAGAGTTAGTCACTTAGTAGGTCTATACTTACCTCCGGGTCCGGCGGTAAGCAATCGATCTTCTGGGTTCGATTTATCGCGTCTTGTCTAGACACGATAAATCAATCCCGCATCGATCCCGGAAGTGCTCGCTGTCGACGCCGGTACTCCTGCTCCGCGAGAGGAGTACGCGGAGTCGACGGGGGAGCCTGCCTGCCACGTCTGGACCCGCGGTAAGTTCGAACTAATGTACTTCGCCTTCAGCTACGTTATTCACGTAGCTGAAGTTGCGTATCTTAGTTCGAAGTGGGGGGTTAGTGTGGACCAGGCCTAAGGGCACATCTTCACTGGCTCTCCCAGCGCTCTAAAAAACCCACCTCCACGAGGGGCGTAGCTCCCAGCGCTGGTGTACTGTCTACACTGGCACTTTACAGAGCTAAAACTTGCAGCGCTCAGGGGGGTGTTTTTTCACACCCCGAGTGAGAAAGTTGCAGCGCTCTAAAGTGCCAGTGTTTAGCGCCTGATCCAAAGTCCATTGACACCTGTGAAATCCCATTAAAATTCAATCAGTCTGTGTCAGCAAAGGGTTCACTGAGCTCAAGGAGAAGGGAGGTTAAAGTGACTCCCTCCCTGTTAGTTGTTGGTTCCTACAGGAAGAAGACTTGG